TGGAATTTCAAAGTCTTCCGAAATCAACAATACTAACTTGATGCTACATGCGAATGATTTAAATTTTGATCGCCCATCTACAGGGTGTTTTAAAATTAATGGTCAAGTTTAATAACTTCGAATCTTAAAAAGGTGGTTTTTTCAAATGAAACCTGCTTTTATTTTTTTGCACTTTCAAATTTGGAAAAAAATTCTACATCGATCAATTGTTACATTCCCTATACCTATCTGTTATGGTTTTCGTTTTATTTAGGAAAAGCTACTGGTTTCAACTTGACGGAGCGCCGGTTCATTCTACCCATGATGCTTATTATTATTTGAACATTTTAGAAGACAGGTGGATTAGGCCTACAGATCCGCACTATTGATCTTCTAGATCTCCAGATACAACGCCACTGGACTGTTATGTGTGGAGTCTTATAAAAAACAAAGTTACACCAGTTGTTTCTAGTGAAGAACTGCACGTTAGGGGGGGCGAGAAGAGCTTTTGATAAAATGGAGTAGGAATTCGAGAGGTGACTTATCAACGGAGTTACACAGAGGATGCCATTATGTATTGAAAAAAAAAGGTAGCCACGTAGAACAAAACCTCAATTGATATTTGTTTTTTATTTTGTCGTTTGTTATCATGGCCTGCTTCTGTTTTTGATTTCATCTTTATTTAAATTTGTATTCATTAAAGTAAATAGGATTTTTTCATACTTAGTGATAATATAACCATAAAAAGATTTATCTGACAGATCTGCTAACGAAGAAAATTATGCATATAACGGTCACAATTTTTTAGACAATCTTAAATAAAACGAAAACCATTACAGAGGTATAGCGAATGTAATAATTAATCGATCTAGAATTCCTTTCACATTTGAATGTGCAAAAAAATAAAGTACCTATAGGTTTCATTTTAAAAAATCTACGGTTTTAGGTTCGAAGTTATTAAACATGACCATTAATTTGAAAACACCCTGTAGAAGGGCGATCAAATTTAAATCAGTCGCATGTAGCATCACGTCAGTACTGTTTGTTTTTGAACTTTTTGACATTCAAGTCAACGGCATAGGTACAGGGTGTTACGTTCCTTTTTCTCTTTCAGTTTTTATTTAGTTTTGTCGCCTTCGAAACCCCTAGAAGTTTTATTTTGGTTTCAATTTAGGTTAGGGTTCATATTTAGTTTTACAATTAGGGATTTTCTTTTGGGTTTTGTTGGTGGTTGTATACCAGTGGCGTACCATTCTCTAGTATTCATTTTATTTCTTTTGGTATTATAAATTACGTTTGGAATTCGCCGTATTTTTTTTACTTATATCTATGATGCCGTTTTCACCCTCTTACTATTTCTTTTGGCTCTTCAATTCCCTATGATTTTATGCTCATTAACTTTCACCCTGCTTTCTACGTTCTATGTCGCTTCTTTGGTTTCCTCTGTAGCGTCCTCTATCGTTTGTGTGTGGTATTAATTTTTCCCGCCTTACGTTTATTTTCCCGCCTTTTTTTTATTTCCGCTTAGTGTCCGTTACTTTTTGATTTTTCCCCAAATTTCGTCCTTGATTGCGTGATCGTCTTCTTTTTTATTATTTCCGGGGGCCATTCCAATAATTATCGTTCTTTTGTGCATGCATGAGGTGCAGAAAAGTTTAATAAATTTTGACCCAAGCCTAATTGGGATTCAGCCTCTTTTTTTGAGATCACCAGAAGCTCCGAGAAGTTTTATTTTTGCGAGCTGCCCTCGGAGCTGCCCATATTTTGGGGATTTGTCCATTTCTTAAATCACGCAGTTTAATTGTTCCACGATTATTTTTACAATCTTTCGGTGTACGCTTCCGTTTAATCGTCTGTAAGTATCCCCTTGTTATTATTTTTTGTACATCCTGTATATTGTTTGTAGAATTGTCATTAAATTCCTGTAGTTTGTTATATTTCCCCTCTTCTTTCGCCCCCAATCATTCCCCATATAAAAAACAAAAATAAAGAAAAGTAACACCATAATACCAACCATTATAATTACTGCCATTATGTAATGTGAGATCTCGCAATAAGCAGGCAACAAGTATCTTAAGTAGTCTGGTAATTATATATATTTTCAATCGTTAAGTGTTACTCGATAACCAATAATTCCTACCTAGCCCCCCATCCCCTTTTTCCTCCCCTAGATTATTTTATTCCCCTCAACAACAAAAAAACCAACGCAAACAGTTTGCCTTTATTATTACTTAATTGAGTCACAATTTTGTTTTATATTTTATTTTAAGTCCCAGGCGAAATTAAATAGTATGTTATGCTCCTCTTAATTAGTGTTTCGTATTTCTCCCCTTCTTTTTAGCCTTAGCTTCCTCGACCACCAGAGGGCTACTTTCTAATTCTGGAGCACGGCTCCCTAACAGGGAAAATAAAAATTAGTGGCGCCTTAAATTTTACCTCTTACCCGCCTAGTCTCTCCGTGAGCAGCCGCAGCCGTTGTGTGTGAGGGCTATTTGTTCTTTGTTTCCCGATTTATTTTGTGCCCCCCTTTTACTCAACGTCCTTGACCACGTTACAAGGGCCCTAAAAAAAGCAGTTAAACGTTATAAATTTTGAAAAATCTTGAATAACTTGAAAACCTTTGATGCTAGGTATAGGGAAATGTGGTACCTATCAACCGATGTAGATTTTCATGTAGATTTCGAAAATGCAATAAAATGTAGGGTGTTTCATTTGAAATTAAAAAGTTGCTATTCACTACTGGTACAACCTTCTATAGTATAAATTCAGTATCCCGCCCTTATAAAAATTCTTCCTCTTTGTTCGTTCTGATTTGTCCTTTCGGCAGATGAAAATCACCTGGCACTGCACTTCGGTTATGTAATGAAAGTAAATATGGAAGGCACCCCAATTTTCCCAAACCGACAAAACGGAGAATGAAATGGTTTTTCAAAGCGCCGCTTTTTAGGCATAGTGTTTCGGTACTTTTTGAATTGAATTTTGATTAGATACAGTACATTGATTTGTCCAACCATCCCAAGCCATATTTTCAAAATCATGGTTAGCATGGGATATTTTACATTACCTAATGTTTGTCCACCAATTTCCCTAAAAAAACCTTAACTGAAAGACCAATGATCGATTTTTCACGTTTTCGTTAGCGACGTGACTCGTGAGGGACATTTTCAGAAGTCATTTTACATAACAAATTATTCCCCACGTAATACAAAATTCTTGTTCTTTATCGCAACTTAAAAGTAGTCGCCTATCTTAAAATTGGACCACTTGCTCATCAACTTGTAAACACATTTCCCTTTCTTAACACAGATATGTTAATGACTCGTTAATAGTACTCTAACCGGAAAGTCCGACGATAGAAAAAAGTAAGAGATTATTTTATGGTTTTAAATCATTTAATAATGCTTAGCTGATTTCGCTAACCCATAAACACAATTTACAGAAATCATCTTGCTTATAAAACGCAGACATAATGACGCTACTATCGTTTACAATTATTACTCTCTCTTTGTAATGAAAGTTTTTGTCACGTGGCGCGGAGAGTGAAAACAAGACGTTAGAGAAATTCGTGGAAAATCTACAAGGATGACTAATTTTGTCGATTGATTATCCAAGACAAAAAAGGAGAATAACGGCGGTTTTTTGTGTTGATTTTTTTTTGCGTATTTCGACAGGAGGAAGGAGTGTGTAAGTCAAAACAAAGGGGCGATGCACCCGTGACATTGTCGCGGTTTTGATCCGGGTATAATTTACTTGTAAACACCCCAAGCCTCCCTATTGTGCGGAGCGCCTGTTGCATTTTTTGCTCGTTTCTTTTTCACGTATATAACAAGTTTAAGTAATCGTCCATTATAAATGAGCAAAAGTAAAATGCAGCACGATGCATCTATTTTCGCGATGCAAGGACATTGGCGGTTGAAGGTTAGCACGTCATTTCCTGGTCAATGTTCTCTGCAGGGCCACTCCGCCCTCGCCCTCCTGTGCCAGACAGAGCAACACGGCTAAGCTTCAGTTAGACCAATATGCTTATGTTTGTGTACTTAATTTCTTACCATGTTTAAATTTTATAACATTATTACGTTCGATACGTGCACGAATGAATTGAAAGTAGACTTTGAATTTAAATTGAATCATTATAGCGCAACCGATTTGCAGCTCAGTTTATTAATCAATTACAATCATAAAACTCATCTTTCACGTGAGATATCTGGTACCTGCCCCAATTGTCTATTGTTCGAAATGTAGGTCATGTTGAGGGCGGGTCGCACATCGTTTAGGGGTTCCCAAACAGGGTGCGCAGGTAAGGAAAAGGGCTCACATAGGCTCATGTTACCGGAAGCCAATTATGCTAAAAAGGGATTAGTGATGTGGTATCAGGTAGTAACACCATAAACAATTCTCATTCAATGACACAATAGAATCTTTTAATTGCTGCTGCTTCGCCGCATTTAATTACAAAATAAAAATTGCGAAAAAGCATGAAACTGTGGGTAGAAAAGCCTGTTGGACCATATTAAAATTTGATTCAAGGTTAAAGTGGCTGGTTATTTTAAGTGAGCCAGTTTCGATTTTTCAAGCTCGAGAATTTCATTTTGATTAACTTTAAAGCGTTGACATGTTGCAATAAACAATTTCATAACCGTGATTTACGGGAAATTAAATTTGATGTGATTTGTGATTTATAAAGGTAATTACCCACAAGCATCAATTCTTATTTGATTTTGGCTTTAAACAATTATTTAGCAGACGATATACATACACAGTTTATTTTAGGGCAAAAGATACTAATTTTTGTCATTCTTTGATTTGTCACGTAGCCCACGGATTTATGAAAATCATTACAACTAGAAGTTTGCTGTTGGAAGTGAGAGGAAGGCGTCAGAGAATATCTCACGAACAATGCATCTTTTGCTTTCCAGAATGAAACGAAAAATGTCACTCGTATTTGTAGTGCGCTCATCTTTTTTTGCAATATGTTATATGATCGAATGACGATAGATGATTAATTAAGTTCTTCTTTTCAGTGCCCGACAGGTATAGCAGCTACATATCATCACTACAACAGCAACATCAAGCTCAACAGAACACGCATTTACAAGGATATCATCACAATAGTATCCATTCTCCTTTCACGGCACCTTCAGCTCCTTCCCCTCCAAGAGGACACGCAATTCCCACGTCCGTAATACAGGCAGCTACCTCAAGCGTCAACGATGAGCTCTCTTATATGCTAGATCTTGGTTTTCCACCTCGTAAGCTTAAAAAAGTCAAAAAACCAAAACCCGGTGAACATGGTTCAGTAAAACGAAAAAGTCGAGAAGGTTCAACAACATACCTATGGGAATTTTTGCTCAAACTCTTACAAGATCGCGAATACTGTCCGAGGTACATAAAATGGACAAATCGAGAGAAGGGGGTTTTCAAGCTTGTCGATTCTAAAGCAGTTTCCCGACTGTGGGGTTTACATAAGAACAAACCAGATATGAATTACGAAACGATGGGTCGCGCTTTGAGGTATTATTATCAAAGGGGAATTCTTGCCAAGGTAGACGGTCAGCGACTAGTTTACCAATTTGTCGAAGTTCCAAAAGATATCGTCGAAATTGATTGTGCGGGAGCGTGACCTCCTGTAATTACAATTAATTTGGCTTAGGTCTCACTCAGTGGCGGTACACTGTTTTGATAGTACAACAAAATTTTTTATTTACGAATATGAAGATTTGAACAAATTTGTTTTAATTTATTAAGTTTATAAGATGAAAGGTATATTAAAGACAAAATTACTAGTACAGCTACCGAAAATTTCAGGGACTTTTTCTCTTACTCATCGAGATAACAATATTAATCAATTCTTACGTAAAATTCATCTTTCTCGCTCGACAATATGTGGTAATACTTCAAAACGAGTATAGTTGCGTAGTTTATATCAAAAAATTATCTGTGAATAATGGACTGCCCAACAAATTGTAGTCAAAAAATTATGGTTTCTAACAGGGTTTCTATTTAACAAAACAGCTAGAAGTAAGTAGTCTGTTTAGATGTGCTTGTTATTTACAAATTTCCGATTGAACCACTTCGATTTGAAGCCCTCTTAACAAAAAAGTTCAGCGTGAATTCGGCGCACGTATTGTTAATTCTCTTCATTTTCACTATTGTGTTATAATAAAGTGATGGTGCTTATATGAACATTTGAAGAATGATATAATGAGCCTTTGGTTGTTGATAGTGAAATGAATTTAATGAATAGAGTCTAAATTTTATTAATAAGAAATTTTTATATGTATACAATTTTATTTCTGATAAAGATGAAACAATAAAAATATTCATTTAGAGTAATTAATAACTGATAGGTTTTTGTAAGATACATGAAGGAATTGTGATAGAGATGTGCTACGTTTAAGATTGTTACTTATGAAATTTTGGCTAAAACACATCAAGGTGCTGTTATTGAAATTGTCGGAGACTGTGAGGTGCCTGCAGATATCTTGCAAGACTATTTTGCAAAGATGGTTTGTTAAATGTGTCAGTACATGTAAGCTCTCTTCGTGTAGTAAATTGAATTGATTTATTGTTTAGGCTCGATGTAGTTACATAATGGCTGCCTTTTTGTGAATTGATCTCGGATGTACACCTAAAAAACACATACAAAAGTATACATACACCTTAGAGATATGTAAATAGTTTGTGTACTTAAGTACATTTACAATAATAGAACCCAGTAAACCCTTAAATTGTGTTATAAGTGTACATTCTGTATAGTATTTATTTTTGTTTGAATTGTCCCTTTCTAAAATTCTTGTAAATTTGTTCTCGTTCAACTATTTGTAACATTCTGTGATTGTAATGTTTAGTTCCCTTTTGTAAAATTTCTAAATTTGATGTTAGTTTATAAATGTAGCTAAGTGTAATTAACATTGTACCTAATGTCAATTGTGTCTTGAAAGTTACATATAATAATCTCAGTGCAAATATTCAGGATAAACTTGTGGGGAACCAATTCGTACTTCAATAAAACCCAGGTATAACTCAGCGATAAAAAAACACATATAAAGTTAGCGTAAATGGTGTACGCACAACAAACAAAATAGTTATTTCAAAATTTTTACGTCCAATCACTTGTGATAATTGTGAAAAAATTATAGGAGGGTGTACTAGATAGGTAAACGTAATTAATATTGTTGTACATGTTTAAATTTTGTTTGTTGTTTTAATATGCCTCTAAAAAAAAAGTGAATTTCACTATTTCATTCGGGTGTTAATTCTGTTTTATATTTAACAAATTATATATTGAAGTAAAATAAGCAGATATAAATGAAAGAACAGTATATTAAAGTTATTGTCTGATATATTTTAAAATTAGAAGTTGTTGAATGGTGATATTCTAAATAATCTCGACTTGTAAATATAGGTTTATAATTACCCTTTGTCCCTCCCTTACGAAAATCACCATAATATTATTAACAAAATATGTTTAACTGTAATACCTAAATAGTTTGTAATTTGTATAGTTTTATTTAGAATAAGTCATGGTACTTTTATTATATAGTTTATTGTAATATTTTGTCTTTATGAAAATAAAAATATATAAGTTTAAAAATTGTTTTCATTTTCTATTTGTCATCTACCTATACCATAGAGACCTTTATATGGAGTGCGTGTAGCACAAATGGTGGACGCCAATCAAACTGAGGTGCTCTGAACTTGCGAAGTACAGTACTTGCCAAATCTTTTTGTCGTCAGAGGTACAAACCAAAACGTATGGAACCAAATGCGTCTTAGCCACCCTATTTGTCACCCACCGCAAATAAACTCAATCCCTAGGTATGTGAAGTTGTGATAAAAGTAGGTATTACTTTTGTAGCTTTAACAATAATCAAAATATTTGACTAACGAAAAAGAGACCACATTAGTTTTAATTAAAGTCTTAATATTTAGCAAGAGATGGCATCTTGGAAACAATGAAACTACATAGAATTAATTTCTACTAACCATAGCCCCCTTTACGTGATCCAATATAAATAATTCCTTATATCTCAAGAACAGGTTATCAAAGGATGGTACTCGCAAAGGGCGCTTGGGACGTCTAGAAGAAATTGGGGATGTCAAAACTTTACGGGTGAATATCTCGAAAACGCTTTGTCGAAGGAAAGTACCCACAAAGGCAAAGTGAATTGTCTGGACGTTGGTGAAGTCTCCCCATTAATTATCTAACAAGAAAGAAACATCATACGATAAATGTACCTATAGCACGCTACTAGCTTATAACGCAACCATTGACTAAGCTATTTCAGTTTTAAAAAATGCGCTTTATCTGCACAATTTATATTCGTTTAAAAAAAATTAAATTATGTTAACATGTTGTGTGTAGAATCCAATAATACCTTTATTTATGATATCAATATACACAAGGTCGACCACTCGTCTTCCGATAAGCGATCATTTGCATTTTAGCACTAAACGTAGCAAGACGTGCATTTTCATGTCTACTATATGAGAGCGGTAAGTAGCTTATAAATCAATTTTAATTTAAAAATTTTGAACTATGTCATAAAATTCTTTAGACCGCTCGTTACCTACCTCGAGTAATAATTGTGGCTTTTTTAAAATATGTGGGAAGTGGGACTCATTTTCATTCTACTTTAAGTCCGTTAGAAACTCAGATTAGGGGTGTATTTTCTGATTGGACAGTGAATAGTAATTTGTAAATGGTTGGTAACCAAGAAAGTTCTTTTGGGTAATGAACAGCAAAAGCGGGTAAGTATCTAAGTATAATTTAGGTGTAATTCTGGATGATATATTCTGGACAGGGAAGGGCGAGACCAAATATCGATCTAAATCATTATTTATGCATGGTTTGGTAGGAAATAAGTGAACAGACAGGCGGACTGATGATGATCATTGAAATCGTAATAGAAAACAAACTATTAAATCCATCTTTCAATCTAAAACATTTTTTAATTAATATTACCACCATAAAATGGTTGAATTTTTCTATCTCTTGCCATGCATGCCACATTGTGTCATATTAAGCAATTTTCAAGAGCGGACAAAGTGGATCCCAAGAGCGGGCTAAGCTCGTGCCCCTCTCTGGCTGCGGCCCTGCGAGGATATAGCTGCACTATAGTCCTATTAAAAATCACAGATGACATGCGAAATACTGATGAAAACGCCATCATTGCTCTAATTTTGGTAGGTTTCTCAAGGGCGTTTGATACAGTTAACCATAATCATTGTTTTTAAACAATGCCATAATCTTCTTTTAAAAATATTGCACTATATTGGTTTTGGGAATTGTGTAATATAATTACAATTACTTAAAAATTACCTCTTTGATCGGTATCAGAAAGTGGTCAAAATAGAGTCTCATCTAACCTGGTAGCAGTAACTTGTGGTGTTCCTCAAGGATCAATACTCGCGGGCCACTATTATTTTCGATCTATACCCTAAACCTACAGTTCTCTTTAAAACTAGACAGTATTCACATATATGTTGATGATTGTCAATATATATTGCAGTGTTTATTTCGTCCGTCTCCTTTTTGTGTAATTAAGATTCATAATTAAATTGCCCCGACGTCACACCGCGTCATATTACGTGGACTGACGTAGCATTACGTGACCTGACGTCAACGGCGCTATGGCACTGGGCCGCAAAACATTAGGACGCGGCCATTGGACCGCAAGACATTACACCGCACCGCAGACATAAGGCCGTGGACATTAGGACGCATAGGTCATAATGACGGGGGGATATGTCATGATCACGCGGTAAAATTCGAAAATAAATGTATAGGGAGACGCGTGCGTTTGAATTTGCGGCTGTTGACGATTTTGCAGCGGTAAGTTTGAAATTGTGCGGTAGATTTGAATTTCCGATTGTGGTGCCACATAGTGCGAATTTGTTGGTGTTACAATAATCTGAAATATAGTTTCCTGTAATTAGCATCTAGTGCCTGATTCATGAAATAGTGTCGTGATGGTAAAAACGGAAATAAATGTATAGGTAGTTGCGAAAGATGTATACATGGAGAAATTTAAAATATACAGCTTGTAATGATAGATAGGTATTTACAGGTATACCGGTGGCAATAGGTCGTTAACTGGTCGGCCATTTTGTTTCGATGAGACCAAATTGACTCGTGTGTCTGTATATTTGAAATTAAATACACAGGACTGTAATGAATAGTTATACTTATGCATACGGTGTTTGTGTTTGCCCATTTTTGCTTGTTATACTGTTATATAAGTATGTAGCTGATTTGTGAAATGTAGGTACCTAAATTGTAATATAAATGAACATTTTTAAGTACTAAACTACAGGTGTTACGTCATATTTTTACATTTGAGACCAGGAATCTGAATCAAACAAAATCTCGATCGGTCTGTCTGTACTCTCATTTTCGGCTAAACTGAGTGAAACCAAATTTGGTACACATGTTGTTACTTAGTCATAAAGAAAGAGCTGAAAAGCCTTTGGGGAGAATCGCGCATATGGAAGTATGTCAAACTCTCGTTTCCGTCTAAACGGCTGAACCAAATTTGGTACACATATTCTTAGAAACAAAAGGGCAGAATCGCGCATGAAAAGATGTGCGTATCTGTGCTAGCCACAGCAAATTTTTACCACCCGCACGTTAGTATAAAAGGAAGGTACCTATTGTATTAGTAAGGTAAAAATGACCCCCGCACATTTTTGACGGAAATACACACTTTGAAGCACCAGGAATCCGAATCAAACAAAATCTTGATGTTGTCAGTCCGTCTGTACTCTCATTGCCGACTAAACGGCTGAACTGATTGGAACCAAATTTGGTACATAAATTCTTAGTCATAAAAGAGCAGAATCACGCATGCGAAGGTGTGCAGGTGGTATCTGTGCTAGCCACATCAAGTTTTTTATTTATAGAACGATTGCAATGAAAGGTGTTAATTGGAAACGGGCGAGACATTGCCACTGGCGGAATATTTACGTTGCTGATAAGCTTTGGTTTCAGTAACCTGACTCTCACCCACACAGCTTTTAAATTATGGGGAGTAGATTTGGCAACACTGGCATGAATAATGTTCTGTTTTGCTGCATTTTAGTTCTCATCTCAGTTACTAGAGGGCCAGTGTGTCGCCCTCCCAGCGTGGAGTAAATTCAAACTAGCTTGTCATTATGGAAAATTATTACCATCAAAGTCAGCCATGAACCTTTTATTTATGACAGAATTATTTTTGAAATAGGTACCTACACATAGTTTATATGCTCAGCTCCCAACACACTTTTAGAGACATATGCTACCTACAATATCTACCATTTTTTAAGATGTCCTCACCGAGTCGTCACCACAATGTAATCAGTATGGTTATGCTGTCACTTACTGCCCATGGAACCATGTTTTATAATGACCTGCCCTCACAATATGTTATTCTTTTTTTACTCTTAACACTGCAAGATCTAAATAAATATTAACAACTCTGCAACATTACACTTTATTGATCTATTAATGTGAACAATTATTATCAGAAACATTAATCATATACAACAACTATCAAGTACTGATCATTTGGCATGAAATTCTTAAACAAAGCTATTCTACAACCAATAAAATTTGCAACACAAAATTTGTAAAGCTTGAAAATGTTCAGTACTTTCACAATTTCATAAAAATAGCAACATGTAAAAAATGTAGGTAGGTACTTATTCCAATAATAATATACATTAAAATCTATTTGGTGTAAGTAGGAGTTCTGATCTAATGAAGAAAAATAGCAAATGTGGGCACCAAGTAACCTTCAAGGAATTCTTGTATATAATTTTGTAATTATTATAAAATTAATCAACTGGACGAATATTCGTTGATTTGTGTCTTCGTAAAGTTTTAAACATCAACAAGTGCAAGTGATACGTATAAAAATATAGAACAATTCCTAATGGTAATAGTTATAGTAAAACACATTCATACATGATATGTTTAAATGGCGGATGGATAAACACAAATTAAAAGTTTTAAATTAGATTTTAATGAATGATGGATCAATTACACATGGGAATTTGATACGTGAGCAAAGGTAACCATTAATATTTTAATGTTCGACATGTAATGATATGTATTTACATTTACAAATAAACATACAAATGACAGATGGGTACAAAATGCCATGTATCACATAATGAGTAAATATAGTGAAGTATGTATTAAGACATAATCCAGTATTTTTTTCTAGAAAATTTGCAAGAACAGCTTAATGAAATATTCTTCTTCCTAAAATTTTAATTCAGTAATTTATAGTAATGGATCATGTCTATAATATTAGTCAATAAACACCAATAATCCTTTATATCATTTTTATATCTTTGTTGAGAAGAATGCATAACAGTGAGTAGAGATTGTAGAGAATTTGAAGTAATTCCTAATTTTTGTTCAACTCCCTTCATCCGTTTATAATTTAAAAGAAGTGTTAAAATACTGTTTTAAATTAAAACAATGACATTTTCATGAAGTTTGCCTTATTAAGCTTCGTGGTAACTATTCGTACTTGCCAAATAAGAGTAACTATACGTATCACTCACTGCCTTATGTTATGCACGATATCAACTTGTTAGGCATACCAATTACTTCATGCAGTCTTAAAAGTTCACATTGCCATCGCTATGTTGTTGGCGCAGTTACCTCAACTTGAAATTGAAAGTTTCTATAATATGCTTTTCATTAGAAAAATAAAAAAAATTGCAAAATTGTCGATAAACACTATTTGTACTACAAACATCAGTTAACATAGATACAGATTTTAAAGGAATGGAACGGCGATAATATGCAATATTCAAATTGAGCAAGCAATAATTGATCAATTGTAATCTTGGTCATGGAATATTCATCACGACAGTTTAACTAGATATGAGTTTCATATTTCATCATTGATGCGTTGTCAATTTGAACATGGTATATTTATTAATTATATATAATAGTTGAGGTATTAACAAAAAAGGAATGTTACACACAGAAAAATTAGCTCGGCAGACAGCACCAAAATTATGCTAACACTAAAACATTTAAAAAGCTAAAAATCTACAATAGTATTCCTTTGTAAAAATAAATTTATCTATACAATCAATAAAAACAGTAGATAAAATCGAAATGGCACCTAATTATAATTAAAGTCATACTAGAACTTTTCTTTAATTAACTAAATGCTCATGGAACGCTACATTATAAATAATTTTATTTTTAATAACCAGTGCAGTTTTTAATATTCATATAAATCTGTTTATTGCAAGAAATCTGACTAGCATCGATGAAAATGCTTATTAGTAAATCTCGGGAATTATGTAATCCAAAGTTCTTACGTACGAACTAGGGAAGTACCCAACCTAGAAAGAAGAATAAAACTATAGTAATCGTATAACAATAAATTCGAAAAAGAAAACGAAAAAACGTAACAGGTTACGTAAATAGCTCTCATTTAAGATATATGCAGTAGTTCCAAAATTAGGCGCGAACGAAATGTTGCTTTTCGCCGCTGAAACACGATGATATTTCGCCCATTTTAGTATGTTGTCAACTGAATCTTTATTAATATCTATTAGGAATTCGTTATTTACAAGATTTCGTTTATGTTGCTATTGCGGCGCATTGTAACTTCCAAAATGAAAAAAATGAATATTCTTGAACAGTGGTTGGACCTTAGGTATAAATTTCATTGTTACAGAAAGGGCAGTGCCAATTTTTGGTCAGACTGTGTAACAATTTTAGGAAATTTATTAAAACGTAATGTTACGGCTATGTTTGTAAAGATTGAATTTATCGAGCTTTTGGCGCGAGGATTTCCCAATGCATAGAATCAATCGATTTTAAGAGAGAGGAAAGTAAAGTCCTATTCTGGCGCTCTCCAGATATCAAACATTTATAGACCGATTGTTCAGTCTTTTTTTTATAATTTAAAAATTCAGCTTTTGAGCTATTTTTTTTGGCAAAGAAGGGTTTGAAACCGTAAGTTCATTTTCATTTTATTTCAATAATTAATTATGGTAATATTTTAGCTTCTTTGTTTTGGTTATTGTTAATTGTTATAACTACCTCATCGTAATATACCGAGCATCAGACCAATCGCCTCGCCAGTGCAAATTAAGGACGTTTTACCTAACCATCCACCCAGAGCCGGACCAACCGGAAGAAGACCAGCCACTAACAACCGCAAGTAGCCTAATTAAACTTACGAGTAGCAAGTTAACAGCAATTCAATAAAGAAAGTTAGCCGGTGTGCATGTGTGTACATTATTTTATCTTCGATATCAGAACAGTTTTATTGTTCATTTCCTTTTTGATATTAAAATACGGCACAACTGCCTTACACAAACTTGGATATAAATATCAATGTTGTTGAATGAAAGTGGATTATTAATGATTTGTCCGTCTGGCCATATGACAGAAAAAGTTTTCTTTTTTAGCACTGGAAGGGAATAGATACCCTGGGCCACTCCTTCTTGGAGGTCAAAAATGTGTCATTGAAAATGAATCCGCGATTGGATAGGTTGATTAATTCTAAGCAACTTTTGTTCTATTTTTTCCGAAAGTGAATACTTTTGACCCTATTCGCGACTGAAAATGTCAATTTTTCAGCCAAAAAAATATTAGTTTTGAAGTTATAATCATTCAAAAACCATTTGTTTTGTATGCTTTTTCAATAGTTATAAGCTCATATAATTTAAATTTTCTTTTAACCCTAATTTTTGAACGCGTTGGAGCTGAAAGAGCTTGGGACTAGGGCTGGGCGATTACGGGTTTGAATAATCGATAATCGATTATGAAAAATAATCGATTACAGTGATTAATCGATTAATCAAATGATCGATTAATCAAATAATCGATTAATCAAATAATCGATTAACCAAATCATCGATTAATCACCTAATCGTTTAATCAAAAGTCGATTGTCACATACAAGGAGTGATAAATATCTGTTTGTATGCGTTAATACGTTAGTTATTTAATAATAAAAATAAAAAATAATTCCATTACTCTTTTCATCAAATCGTTCATTACTAGGCAGATCGAATAATCAATAATCAACAAAGTGTCCCTGGTTCGAATCCGGGTTCGGGCATGGATATTTGCAAATGCATAGTGGGTTGGTTGGTAGAACAGCCTTGGCTGAAACCCTGCCCATTTGAAAATGAAGGTCAAAAATAAAAATAAATAAAAATAAATGATTAGGCAGCTTACTCTCCGATGAGGTGTGCTTTAGTTTTGATGATACAATCTTAATTCATTTTAGCTGCTTAAAGTGACGTTTTAACATCCGCTATAAAATAAAATAATACTTGTGAGCTGTGAGTGCTCCTTTTTGCGTAAACTGATGGTCCAGCTAATAATAATCAATTAAAATTTACTTAATAATTGATTAATCAAACAATCGATTAATCAAATAACCGATTAATCAAATAATCGATTAATCAAATAATCGATTAATCAAATAATCGATTAATTTAATAGAATAATCAAACCCGATTATCGATTATCGTTTGATTATAATCGATTAATCCATTTTTTTGCCCAACGCTACTTGGGACAACGTACCATCTATGAAGTTTAAACGAGCATAGCCTACTCAATTTTTATTTGTGTCCTACAGAAAAAAAAACTAAAATTTCCAGAAACCTACAATTTTGCCCTTTGTGCATTTTTTTTGCAAAATTACAAAAACGCTTCAATTTTAAAATATTCATTGCTAGATATTTTGAAAAAAGCGATGTTTTCGACTTCTCTTCAAATCCGCGAACCTTTTCACTCCTAGTCCTACATTAAAAAGTGTAAATACAAAAATTAAAGATAAATACCTCTAAATAATATGGGCAACTGTTAGTTATGAAATAAACTTATGTTTTTTTAAAAATGTTAACTTTTTGGGATTTGTAACGCACCGGATACTAGTAGGACCCAATGCGGTAGTTTAAGGTTGTGGGCACCTTATAGACATTTAAATACTAAGAATTCGTAAAATGAATGCGCTATTTGCACACGCTGTATCTCGATCCGTAGGGAACTGTCGACATCGCGGTTTTCGCTGCATGATAACTTTCATACTGTAGTTGTGTGTAGTGTTTCATTTCCATATAAAAAGTTAGTTTTCCAAAACCTCCTGATCGCTCGGTTGAGTTACGTTTGCAACACTCCTTTATGAGTGCTGACTCTTTTCTTAAATTTTGTCTAAGAGTTTGGCCCGTAGAAAAAGTACGTACTGTATTGAGTAGTATTTTTATTACAAAAACCACAAAGTACAGCACAAAAAAAAACAAAAGTTGCTAACTCTGTTGGTTTTAACAAAATGGTGCTTCGGCGCACAACGCCCTAATCGTGGGAGAATACCCATCGGACAAATTTCCTGGAAAATCGAAAATTTGCCCTGTATTCATTTCATATTTAGTGATATAAACTACCATCAACATCGAATACATAATAACAATTATAAACCTAAAAAGATTTGTCTGACAGGTCTACTATAATTTATTTCAAGGCCTCTTAAGAAAATTATGTAAAACGGTTACAATTTTAGAAAATCTAAAACAGAATGGAAAGCATATCAGATAGGTATAGGGAATTTAATAATTAATTGATGTAGAATTTTTTTCGACATTTGAAAGTGCAACAAAATAAAGCATGTTTCATTTGAAAAAATAAACTTTTTAAGGTTTGAAGTTATTCAAATTGTCCATTAGTTTTAAAATACCCTGTAGAAGGCCGATAAAATTTTAAACCGTTTTGATGTAGCATCAAGTCAACGGAGTCATCGGTCTGGCTCAAAAGAACAGCAGTGAAAGAACAAACATTTTTTAAAATCTTGAATAACTTCATAACCTTTTATGTTGGGTATAGGGAAATGTGGTATCCAACGAAGTAGGCTTTCATGCAGATTTCGATAATGCGGGTGTTGTATTTAAAATAAGTAAATCGATATCGACATCCGGTAAAACCGGAAGTTAAACAATCGTAATAATATTTTCTTTTGATAGATCATGAAAAACTATGTTGGTATGCAAATTTTTGCGTGAAACAGCCTGTATTTTAAAACTAGCAAGCTAAACGTATTTCCAATATTCGCTAGGGCGGCATTATGCTACCGGGCTACCTCTTGTATTCAGATGACCAAAATAACTATTTTACTTTCTCAAAAGCAGAAGATGACTCCCCAGGGACTAACAGTAAATTACACATGGCCCCTATTACAGCCATTTCGCGACAGCTCAAGTACTTTACCGCAAGCAACAACATAGTAATAGAGTGTGGCAGATGTTACCATATCTTACTACTTGTGTAAGATAGAAAAAAGGCAAAAATTGCTTATTTTACGTAGAATCCAGTTGCGTAGTCAAACAAAATTTTGGACCACCGTTTCGGAGATTTCACCCAAAGTTAAAAAATGCCACACCCTGTATATCTTAACGTCAATTTTTTTGCATTATTTTCCTGATTACATTAAAGTACCACAGCCTACATTTTTTTTGTTTAGCCTGAAAATCAATAATAGCCTTATTTTTTTTTACTGTTTTTAAATAGAAACCCATAGATTCAGGGAGATTTGGTTTTGTTAGTGTATCCATGGTAATTAAGACAAACGATACCAACAGAAAAATGTCTAACGGTAGAAAAATGGCATTTCAAAATTTTGAAAAACATAATATACAGTGTGTAAAGTGATGGGGTATACAAGAGGGAATTTTTTTAAAATATTGATTTATGAAAAAAATGTATTCATGATTTTTTGCTTACTTTGAATGTACCAATAACGTTTCGATTGTTTGTGGTTTGATAGCATACACGCTATCTTGATTATAATGTAGAATGATAACTTTCAATAAAAAAAATTAATTTTATTATTTTTCCAGATTTCTATAAATAATAATAATAATACTTTATTGCTCAAACAGAAAACATTCCAATAATAGAGCAACAATACAATTACAATTACAAGAGTGAAATTAAAATAATGTAACTAAAATAGTATACTTAAGTAAATTAATATTATAAACATACAAAATTTGTGCAAGTGCGTTGACAGATAATTAAATTCGATTAAATTGCGCAAAATAAACCAAAAATATATATAAATTATATTAAAACGTGCAAATGAACAACAGAGATAATAATAATAATAAATTTTAGATTATCGAAACGTTATTGGTACTTTCAAAGCAAGCAAAAAATATGATTAAGAATAAATTTTTTTCATAAATCAATATTTAAAAAAAAATTCCCTCTTGTATACCCCATCGCTTTACACACTGTACACTTAATTATAGAGTGTGTTTCAAAAAAAAAGGTCCGATATTTTATACACGTATGGTACTCATGAAAAGAAGCCAAAAAGTCTTAATAAACATAGATCCGTATACTAAGTGTTTCAGTTGATTTTGTGTCAATTTAAATATTTTTGTTTTTCTACAGTTGACTTAAGTGGCTGAATTTTCTGTGTGCAAATGGAAGGAGGATACATACAGCATCTTCTTTAAGTATTTTACGTATTAAGAAACATCTGTTTTTAATAATGTAATTTATTGAAGAGATAAGAGTTGCTGTTATATTGTCTTCAACAAATTACAGACAATTCAACTCCTTGAGTCAAGTGTAGGAAAACAAAAATATTTACTTTTTTTTCTCTTTACAACGATGTATGGTGCTTCAGTATGACATCAGGTATCAGTATCACATTTATCCTAAAAATACAAAATCTTGTTTTTTGTCAAGAATGCTTTGGAAAAACAAAATGTTCTTTTGTTGTAAACAAAAGCTTGGCAGTTTGATGTTATTTCAAGTAGTGTCATTTACGTTTGCGCTAGTTTTATTGCGAAAAAAAATGCCTTTTTTAAGTGCAGAACAAAGAGATATGATACTAATTTAACACACTTTGCATCAAAATGCTGATTTTCATGAACTTCGTCAAAGAATCCACTCTCAGACACAAGATTAAAAAACAAGATGTGCCAAGAACTCAACAGTCATAGCAAATCTTAGGAAGAGAGTGGCACTGTGTTTAGAATTAGCAGGTTGGCAATTTGAACACATGCTGTGATGTTACATTTGTTAAATATTATTTATTCTTATGTATTTTATTCTAATTTGAATTATAATTTTCTTACAAAATTGAATCTTCTCAACACAACTAGTTCAATGCCAACGACTCAACCAGACAGACAGATCAAACGTCCACGTCCAACTTTTGTTCACAACAAATGAACGCTTGATCTTCCAAAGTACTCTTCGCAAAAAATGAAAAATTGTATTTTTAGGAAAAATGTGATACTGAGCCATCATGTGTGATACATCGGCCTCAAGAGAAAAAAAGACGTAATCTCAAAATGCCAAATCCAAAATGGCGTCCATAAAAAAAATAAAATTTATCAAGAAAAAATTCAACACCAAAATCCGAAATTTTCGTTTTTTTTAAAAGATATTTTTAAAACTATTGAAAATATTTTAAATTTTTTTTCGGATTATTAATTAGGACAAAAATTCACAGCTTTGCCCTCATTTAACCAATTTTCCCTCTCTTAAGATATTCGAGATCCCCATAATGGCGAAAAATGAAACCCTGTATCTTTATTTTGAAGTGAGCAGGACTGCTTCACACTTACAAAACTTTCGTACACTCAAACCCGGATTAGACCAAGAATTTTATGAGTTGCAGCTGAGGAAACATCAACAGGCTGGTGATAATTGCAAGTCAGGTTGTCATAGTTATGCTAACCAATACTTACCTAACTCAATTTCTTCTTAACAGTTTGTCAAACACTGAGAAATAAATAATGCACATTTTTAAAAACAAAAAACACTCATGACTTTATCTTAACAGAGCAGCCACGAACAAAAATTTTCCACAAAAATATATTTTGGATCATGATTGTTGTTTACATACGTAAATGGATTGATTATTCATAAAAATCTTAAAATTGATTTTGGTTATTCAGTTACCAGCATACTAAAAATTGATGCGATTTTTTTATTGCCCTAAACATGGATCCTTAACAGAATTAGAAAACAAATATTCTGTGTAAGGCATGAAAACAAACCTGATCATCACATTTGCCCTTCCACCATCCATTTCGATATCCTTCTTGACATAACACGATTACTTCCTGACCTTCTCGAAAGGAAATATGTTCGCAATCTTGAGGATCGAAATCTCTACACGCTACCGCCCTCAATTGGCGATAAGGCCATTCTAATTTAGTGTGCTCTTCCAACCTGCAACAGCAGAAACATAATTCTGATATAAGACAATGGCAAAAAATACCGTTCAAAATTCTCTTTCAGACTAGAATGTTGATAATTTTCAATTAACGCTTCAATACTGTTAAAGTACTTCGATAAAGATAAAAAGTATTTTTCTTCAGACCCTGTTATATCACAACATATTTTCATATGTTTCACTGTGTTGTCTGTCCTGTTAACAAAAAAGTCGTAATCGAAATAATGATGCCCAAAGACTTACTTAAGACTTAACGCAAAACGATCTCGATCATCTCTCTGTGATCTTATGCGAACTAAATAAGTTCCATTTCTACGATGTTCTAAGGCCGTCGAAGCTTCGTTTCGATCCATTTCCCCAACAAACCTAAGCCAAAAATGTGATTGGGCGATACACTAAACAAGATTTTTACCATAATTTGTTAGATAGCTGAACATCACTGTGTAAGATGTGCGGCGGAGGAGGTGGTGGTGCGCCACATCGACCAGAGGTCGCAATACACTCCTTATGAATAGCAATATCACACACTCTGCACCTGTATCCTTGAAAGATAAGACCTTTTAAATATTTTGAGCAACGGTTACAAGTAACTGGTTTGCTAAATGTGTGCATTTCAAACCGGTGGTTGGTTCTCGCTAGACTTGCCGGACGAACATTATCCCTGCAATTTGATAAACATACAAGTTTAACCTTGACCAGAAGCACTTACACAGCATCCCTTAAAGCTTTAATCATTTTTTCTTTAATTTCGATACTACGCGCATATATAGTATACGCAATGGATTGATTATGCTTCACCAAATGCCACTGGTATGACCATCGAGCTTCACGATTTAAAAGCGCTCTATTATTAAAATTTTCAATTCGATATTCGGGTAAATGCAACATATCGCGATAAGCAAATTGATTTCCCTTAAAGAATTACATTAAACACATCGCAAAAGATAACTTGGACATCTTACTTTAATTTGTTTACATAAAATCATAACTTTATCAAATATGAACACATAGCGGTTACGAATTTTTTGATCATCGTGAGCTTTAATTTTTAGTTCCGCATCTTTGATAAGACGTCCACAATTTTCTAGCTTAATTTCGGAGGATACGTCCCACTCCACTATATTTTCCTGCAATTTTTTTATAACGGCGAGATGTTCACTATCTCGAGCGGCTTCGTTAATGTAACCAGCCACATCCAGCATAACTTCTCTGGCTCGTTTTAATTCTTGATATTCTTCATGATTCTAAAAATAGTTTGCCCATCACATAATCCAATCCGTGAATTAAGAATGGTGAAGATTACTTACAAGTGAGTCACACAAACCCGTTTTAGAGTCATGATTATTTGTCTGACTTACTTGTAATGTAACACCCTTAAAAATTAGTGCTTACAGGATCTGTCAGTTCGATAAGTTTTTCCAGTAGCAAATGATACTTTAGTATCCTTTGCATTGGGACAGATAAAACGTCTCGCAATTTAAACCTCCCATTATTGTCTTCTTTTTCACATTTCTAAAAGAAGACTCAATAGTTTCGCAATTTCAAAAACGGAATTACACTCACAATAATAGCCTGGTTAAGAATTTCATCTTTATCACAGAAATCTTGTAATAACGCACAAGCATAAGACAAATTACCACAATACGTTCCATACACCAGGAATCTCTCTCTCCACGCCATAAAAATACCGCCTAACCTAACAGATTTATCAGTACCAACTTTGAGCAATTGACTTAGGAAACCTGTATGAATTTCGTGTAGTTCCTACAAGACATTTGTTAGTATATCTGCATTTAAAATAATGGCTTACGTTAATTTTGCAAAAAACGATCGGACGTAATTCAGGCCGTAGATGAGCTTGAAGAGGTTTCATAAAATTCTTCTTCAGTTTATTTAATACTTCTACATAATTATGCTCAGTTTCTACAAGCTCTTTAATAACATAGTCTCTTTTTTCTAAGGGTGGATGCGTCCCAACGAACTAGGGATAAGTTACGTTACTTAAAGAAAGTAGTTTGGCATGTAAGTCAATCAAGCATTAAGAGAAGCAACATTTTAATGCAATATTCAAAATCAAATTACACAGGAACTTACCTCCGAGTGTGGTACTTGCTGTAAAGAACAAAGATCCTGGTAAATTTCCTCACCCCTGTTATAGTCACCATATTCCTCATACTCCACGACATTTAAGGCTGACCGAGTTGGTGGTTCACTGATACACAAATAAGGCCATGCAAAAACTACTACTATGTTGTATGTAAAATAAAAATACATATGTCTCGTTTTACAAAGATTAAAAAATTTACTACCAATGCAAAGGGGTTCTCAGCATAAAACTTGGTTGAAAACCCCATCCATCAATAAAATACAATTCATTCTCAACATTAACTATGCACCAACAGTGAAAAATTAATTTTTAACCACAAGAGAAATAGAACTGAAATAAAAATAATGGGATGCTGCAACATATAGATAAAGTGAAAGTGCATAAATAATGTAAAGCCCACCTCTGGCAGGCTATCTGATATAGTGACATAACATAAATCATCGTAAACCTCCTCTTCTCGATCCTCAGGTTTGGGACTTGGTATTGTAAATTGTAACCAACTTGGTTCGGCTCCAAAATTGGATACGAACCTAACATCGCTGTTAATAAAAATAATTTAATAAAGTGTTCATTAAAAGTCTAAGTTATTAGACTGAGATATAACATTAGGCGCGTTAATCAATACGTTGACAATTTATCAAACGCTGCTTAATTGTTTATCATTCCTAGCACGTCCTGTATATAACTATATTGCCTGTCCCTGTATATATTCCCACTTGTTATGTGCGGCGCATGAGCAGTTGGAGGTAGATCAGCATCCTTCGAACATTAAAGAATCGAAGTTGTTGTGCAACCATCAATAATAATGAACATGCTTGTTAAAAAGCAACACGTTATTTTCATTGAGACTATATAGGTCTTCATCCACAATAGTAACCGCTCGTCTTTCACTTATGGATCTATCGGCATAGATGAGACTTTTGTCTGTGTAACTGTCGCCAATACTCTTGAATGCATATAAGTATTCTTTTTTTTTTGTTTTATTTCTGTTTAGTTCTTTTAATTCTAGCCTCATTTCAATTTCAGGTATCGACCACGGCGCGTACTCATGTCTGCTTAGATAGAAATCAGTAGCATAGTTTCATCTATTTCCTTAAACCTGATACAAAGGGGATGTGTATGTAATAGCTGCCGTAACAAAAACATTTTCTACAGGAAAGAGGAATCTGTTCGAGTGAGTGATTTATGATCTAGCTTTTGCCATATAATTGACCATTAAATTTTCCCTCTGTATGTCTAATGGGGACAGACATGACTTGCAGTAGAGGCTGTAGGGGACTAGCTTAATTGCAATACACAAAATGTTTCTTTTAGCTAACTAGTGCGTTAGACACTTATTTTGAGTTAAAAATTATTTTTATTATAGGTCATCGATTATTCACTTGTAATTTGAATTTCCTTGTAAACGCCCTGTATCACTAAATCCGATTTTCTCATTATCAAAGTGTTGCCCTTTACTCGGATTAACATTTATTATTGATCAAATGTATTTTTTAACTTCAAAAATCAAGGGGGCTACATTTCATCAAAATGAGGCTTGCTTCTGGGGAAAAAATTAATAAGATGGCAATGTTAACAAAAAACCAAAAAGTGAATCTAGAGGTTAACTAATGACATTGAAACAAGTAAAAATATACCAGGTGTTTTATTTAAAAAAACTCAGTTATTTATTGACACCATAAAAATGGAACACCCTGTAAATTCAAAAATAATTGCTGCAGATGCACAAGTGTCTATAATTGACATCTGCACATAAGATATTGTAATATTTTTTACCAGGTGTGGGCTAAGAAAGACCGACGCACTGTTGCAGGACCCTGTATATAACCAAATACTATATTGAATAGAAAATGTTTAGTGGCGCACATTTTTTTATTGAAATTTTTGGCTCTTCTCTTTCAATAGGCCGCCGACTCCTGGTATAGACAGCGTTCCCACCTGTTTCTCCGCCTTTCCATACATCTTATAGATGACCTTAATCTCTTGACTGTTAGCATTTTCTTTAAAAACCGCACACAATTTAGAGATACAATTATGAGATCCTTGGCAATTTGACCATTGGATGGAAATCTCACATGCTGTCCCTTGATGAATATCTTTATCACAAATACATCATTGAGGATATTTACATATGATAGACGCATGTCGAAACTATTGACAATTGAAACAGTGTAGCAAGTTTGGTATGTAAGGTCGACCCATCAATGGGTAGAAAGGTGCCTGAATTGTTTTTGGAAGAGCTCGAGTATTAAAAGTGAGTTGGCTGTATATATCTTAGAGGCGAACACGCAGTTGTTGCACAGTTTCTGCAAGGTGTGATCGCCACCTGTTTGTCTCTTCAGACTTGAGAAATATAACTGCAAATGGTTATAAAAAATACTGTAGAAATATATAGAGAAACGCGAGGGGAAGCGTAAAATAGTACAAAGTAAGGGGCTAAAATATGAAACAAATTCATTTAAAAATCAGGTGTTGGGTTTTAAAAAATACTCACACACATCTAGCATATTTTTTCTTGCGGATTTTAAATATACAGGGTACGTCAAAAAAGTAGATTTTGATATCAAAGTTGATTTTTTTAATTGAACAGTATTTTTTTAAATCCATTGTCGAATTCTGTGCCAAATTCTACGACCAATAAAAATAATTCAAAAATGGATTTAAAAAAATACAGTTTCATTTCAACACTTAGATCATTATTGGCAAACAATTTCTGTTAAAATACAATTGAAAAACGCCTTGGGGCGGGCTCAGACATATTTACCCTTCTATCTGTGACCTTGTAGTAGATACACAGCATACATAAGAAATTGTAATTGCCATGTTGTCTCTTTTTCTCCTATGAAACAAAACCAGTACAATATTTAACAAAAGCCGTGGCAAAAGTAAAGTGAAAACCCAGAGGAAATTAAAGATTTAAATTGCCCTATTAACAACCAACTATGAATCTTTGCCACCCAGGAATTTTCTCGGTAACACACCTGGTCGGGACGTAGGTGAAAGATCATTTCAACCACTAAAACTCACTTGAAATGCAAATACCTCGGCAAATACATACAGAATTCTACAACTTCACATTTTAATTTAGTATTTTCCTGATACATTACACTTCCGGGACCATCAGTTTTTGTTGATAACACAGTCTATTTCATTCATCAAATATGTGGGATAATCTAAAGATAAAAGTTTGAAAGAGATATGCAAACAAAAACCACAATGATAAGGTATTTAACAAAAACTCCAACAAACCACAATTTTCCAATTTTTTTGTTGTGTTTGCTACTTGAACGATGGCAAGAGTTCCAGTGTTTTGAGATTTTTACTGTTCTGAGAAATCAATGAATATTCGAAAATATACTCCCAAAAAGATATTGAAAAATTAAAACATTTTCGAGTCATTACAGATAATTTATGCTAGGTAAAACTATCGAACAATTAATTCCCAATTATGATAATACTACGCAACTTTTGGTAAATTATCTGCGTATTGTGGTGTTGTAAATTGAAACCTAAAAACCAATTGCTAATGAATTCAGAATTAAGCTTTGTATAACTACGACTTTTAGACTTACATTTACAGATATCTCTTCAATTTATTAAAGTAATGGATCACATACTAATTGTGAAATACTTACACAGACTTCAGACTCTGATATATATCCTCCTCTTCACGAGATTGAACATTTTGAGCAGAAAATCCACTAAACATCTTTGATTTAAAAAAAAGTAAAATCCAGAAGAAAACTTACGGTATATTACTCTTCAAAGACTTGGGACTTAGTGACAGCTTGGAGATGGTGCATAACACTTTATGAAAATTTGTTAGATCAAATAGCATCAACTCCTCAAACAAATCTGATTCCTTAATTCCGAAAGTGACATTGCAAGTCCTTAAGAATAATCGTATATTTCTCAAGCACAAAAACTGAAATTGAACGTGTAACATCTGTGGAGATCCCTAAATTAAACTAACCTGTGCCATTGCCGGCTTTAAATTAACATCCTTCATGTCAATGCAACCGGGATCTATCTTATTAAGTAACGTACAAAGTAATACACCATCCCGAAGAGTATTGGCAAGATCAACAATTCCAGCATTAGGCCAATTGGCTCTGTGATCACTGCGTAGGACGTCCCATTGTGTCAGCCAACTAGCACACTCGCGCCAGAGTTCGTCACTGGTTACATAGGCCGTGGCCATCTTTTCCCAGTTATATTAAAACATAATCCTCTTAAAATGTTAAACAGTAGTTAAAGGAAAACATGTAAGCCACCTTTTACCTGGATTAGGTTTACTTTATCGTTGCTAGTAATCATATCTTCGTATGACGTTTTTATCAAATTAGGTGGAATAACAGCACAAAATGGAATTGCAATTCCATAACACTTTAGTTTTTAGGTCGTTCTTACAGGCCATAAATAAATAAATAAAAATTACTTATGTAGTTGGATTGCAATAAATAATCACAGAATCCAACCTAAAACAGCGTATATGGCACGAGCTCTACAATACCGATCGATACGCCCATGGAAATATTCTAAAAGTGGTTTTACACCATCCACACCCATTTATTTATGCAGCGTGTACACTGTACAGCTTTTGAATACGTCATTGATTATACACACATAATCAATGAATACGTTAATCAATGGCATTTGTTTTACAAGATATGCTGATCTGGTGGGGCAGAATGGACCCCTTAAGGCGTGTTGTAAAATTAATGGATGCGTGAAGATCTCCAAGACTGTTTGGTATTCAGTTATATCAGATCTTTGTGCTTATAAATTTATAGGTACCTACGTTAAGAATAGGTTGTGCATGCGCAGTGCTAACTTTCTTATTTGCGGACGGATATTGCTGAAAACGAATTTGGCTGGAGTAACTATTTTTTTCGGACAAAGACTGTTAGTGTGGAAATGCGATTTTTTAAAATCGTGTCTTCTACATGTTGTCTTAACTCCTCTTCCAATGCGTCTTTTTACAGCCAACTCTGATTTTTTCTTTTTGCTTCATATATACAAGTTTCGTATTAGGCGTCTTTCTCTCCAGTTGACACCCTTTTCTTTATTTCCAACAGTTTCTCTCTTTAGAATGTCAACAAAAGCTACACAGGTCTTTCCCTTTTCCAAATACCTTTCGCCGATCGTTTTCACCACTCCTATATAGCGGATAGCCTATAGGTAATGCGTCTCTGGTGCCCATTCCTCTTCTGAATACAAATTGTTCCTCTGCCATATATTCTCCTCTCTAAGTTTGTTAAGCTTTCTATTCAATATTTTCAATTTCATTAATATCTTTGTTGATTGTTCTACATATATTCTGAACATTTGCGTACCGTGCTTATTTATGTAGAGACTAGAGAGTAGAGCCACTATTTCTGAACAGAGATTTTATTACAAAGAGTTTTCGCTGTGTTCGTAATCAATGCGTGACCGTCAGAGTTTTCCAATGAAACAGTATGAACTCTCACGTTTGTCTAAAATGCGTTTAGAATAAGATGCAGAATACGAAGTGAAAAAGGTCCTGCCCAGTTCTGTACCCAGAATGAAGTAGCAGTGGTGGCCGGTATTTTTCTAGAGGGGCTTAAGAAGTTTTTGATAAAAACTTCCTATGTAATTTTTGTAAAGGAACCATCAACCGTAATTTCCAGTGGGGCCCAGCCCCATCTAGCCACCCCCTGGCTGCGGGCTTCGGCCTGCTTCTGCCATTTGAAATAACAAAGTTAGTGTCGGCTTCTGGTTTAAGTGGATGCGAAAATTAAGTCATAGGTGTCGTAAAGTTAAAAAAAATTCTCTTGACACTGTTTCCAAAAAACTATTGGTCGTGAAACGACAGTATCCGACTTCACCTACCGATCACGGTCGAGTACAGTACGAATTATGATCGTCACCGCTGTTTCTTCTGAGCTTCTGCTTGAGCGATAAACTGGTAACTTCATACCCATAACAAAACATAAGCATTTCCAATGCTAAAACAAATGAGGTACCTAATTGTATTGCAAAGACAACCAATATTATCTGATCGATTACACGAATTTTCTTTTCAACACAACACAACACATGGCAACGTTGTCTTACCTACAGCATCCCTCCCACATGGCGTTAACACTCCTTTTCCTATTTTCCTAAAATTTTGTTTAGTTCAGCTTCAGCTTCAGACGCGTGCGCTATGGAGCCGTTCCTTGCGTGATCGTGTCTGACATAACCTACCTACACTCTACTAGTCTTATTTTGGATGTGATGTGGTTAGTTTGTTTAGGTATAATCGTAGTTTATTGGAATATCGTTTAATTTGTTACATACTCGCTTTTGTTTAGTTTTTACCAAATGTATTTTAACAACCTGCACCTTTAATTAAATAGTTGGATCCTGTTTACCTATAACTAAACTGATTAAATTAAAACGTGCCGGTGCATTAAAAATGTTTTCATTTATAAGAATTGTTGCTGTATTTACCATAACACTTCCTTATACAATTCAGCAGCAATTTTTTGAAGAAAGTTACCGTACATGTGAATTTGAAAATGCAGCCGACAAAAAAACAATCACAGTTCCAAAGTAAGTGCTTCCTCATATCCGCTAATCGTAAATTAAACTTCTGAAATTTTTAGTCAAGTGTGGAATGTTCAGGGTTTAAACAGACATAAGGACGTGCTCATCAAACTATCAATATGCGACTTAGGGTCTTCTATTCCCGATTGCGATGTAGGGGCGACTGTATGTACAGTGAACAAGAAGAAGAATCGCTACATTATCAAAAATGCGGGTACTTCTTTTATTTATACCAAAGATGGTAAGTTACTTTTTATTTACGATTGATTTTTTCCCAAAGCAGACCACGAGAAATATCTCTTCAATTCAAAATGCAGGCATAAACAATAGTTTTGGGTTTACAAACAATGAAACAACTACAGTACACGTATTTATTCTGGTATTTTTTTAATTTTGGTACGTGGGCTGCAACAATTGCCTTAATTTCATGCTGATTGCATAAATGATTGTCGGAATAAGCGCACCGCGAATTTGTGTACCTGGGTATAGCTGGTATAGGTATCAATAACAAAAAATTGACTTCCGGTCTCCGGAGGGAGAAAACATGCTTCACCACTACGCATCTAGTGATCTAGTGCTTTTTTAAAATGCGCATTGTTGTCAACACATATTTCAGCTGAATCTATTTCCGTTCTCTATATTTTTCAGTTTACTCATTTAGAAGACGAATGTCAAAAAGGATATGCAAATTTCCCAAATTGCATACCATACCGTCATCAGTTACTTTGTTTATTTCAAGAAAGCAACGTTAGCAATCTTTTGAGCAGGTGTGGGTGAATGGGTAGATTAAAAGTATTCTCTTTTGGAATAATTCTTTCTTTCTTCTTTTGTCATATTCAAATAAATGCCCAATTTGCAGATGTAGTGCAGACGTTGGTACTTATGCATATTTGAGGGTTGTATGGTTAGATTAGAACTTCTAGTATTGTAGCGAATTTTGTAAGAACCATCAAGGTGGCATAAAGTCGATTCCATGAAATATAATATGCTGATTCCAGAATTCTCTAGAAGCTGTATAACCAAATTGAATTGTGTAAATCGTTGAAAATACTCTCATGAGTCATAACACATGCTGCGTCCGTCGATTTTTTTGATCAGACAACTGAAGATTTATTTTCTAGTACTGCAACCATTTATTCATTCCCTTGTGAATTGATATTATATTCAACCCAGCGCAATATTCCTATATGTATCGATGAGGATAAAGCAATTTTATAAACAGGAAGGTATGAAAGCTAAGAAAGCTAGTGCAGAAAAAAAGAAGCTATCTAAACTATGTAATAGTTAAATGAATATTATTATGTTACTCAACTGGTTAATACAAAATTATTAATTCCTGAAATATTCATAAATAATATGCATGTGTTTTCATTTCATGGAAAGTTTCGCCCTCCAACCAAATTCTTAAAAAAGATCGCTACTGTAGATACATCTAAACCTTGATATTTTTACAATCAGAAGTATGTGTATGTATTACATATTGATATCTACTTCATAGTGACATGACCATTCCTACACAGTTTTTATACGATAATGGACAGAAACACACAACTTTGGTAGTAAACAATGTAACGTGCGAATGGATTACGTACATATAAATGCGTTCTGAAGCGGACGGAATTTGCTCTCTCTCTCTCTCTTGCACATTTCAGGCCGGTAACGGCGTACATGCTAGACGCACTCGCCGTATCACCAGTCTATACCACCGTGTTCCACACTAGGGACCGACAAGAAATCCAAATTCCAACTTTTTAGAGACAAATTATCCAAATAATTTGGATTGTTTTCGTCAAGATATCCAATTTTTATCGACAAATTATCCAAGTCCAAATAAAGCGACAAAATATCCAACCAATTTGGAAACTCCGATTTGGATATCTTGTCTGTGGCGCGACAAGATATCCAAATACCGAATTTTTTTAGACAAGAAATCCAAAATTTTTGGACAAAATATCCAAAAAGTTCGGAAATTTTTTGACAAGATATCCAAACTTTTTTAGACAAGAAATCCAAATTTTATTCAAGCCCTTTAATCACGTATGAACCTTGTGCAGTACGAAACATTTCAGTTTCAGTGTTAAAGCAAATGCTATGGCATTTAGTATGTTCTCATACAGCGTCAAAGAATTAGTGCCTACCTTGTAATAAATGAGTTATTATTAAACTACACTACACTAAACGCTGTATAAAAACTTACTGAATGCTAATTGCTATGCCGTGTTTTAGCACTGAAACTGAAATGCTGATACGGAATTTTTCGGACCACACAAGGTTCATGCCTGATTAAAATTATAATTAATAAACCGATACAACGAAATATCGAAGGATCCTCAGTATTACAATCACTTTTAACGACAATTTATTTTAATCTTACAAAATACATTTTATAGTTAACAAAAATGCATCAAATTCATGTCTTGGGCTTTGAGATAATGCTCTTGGTTTTTTTCCCAACGATCTTGGTGCATAAATAACGATTTTGACATGTTTTGATCAAAATCCATGTGGTCCATAAAAATAGATCAAATTCATGTTTAGATCATTGAGATAATGCTCTTGATCTTTTTCCCAACGATCTTGGTGCATAAATAACGATTTTGACATGTTTTGATCAAAATCCACGTTTCGCCAAAAATTCATCAAATTCATGTCTTGGCATTGAGATAATGCGCCTAGTCTTTTCCCAACGATCTTGGTGCATAAATAACGATTTTGACATGTTTTGATCAAAATCCACGTGGTCGCCAAAAATGCATCAAATTCATGTCTTGGGCATTGAGATAATGCGCCTAGTCTTTTTCCAACGATCTTGGGGCATAAATAACGATTTTGACATGTTTTGATCAAAATCCACGTGGTCGCCAAAAAATGCATCAAATTCATGTCTTGGGAATTGAGATAATCGCTTAGTCTTTTTCCCAAGCATCTTGGTGCATAATTAACG